CCTNGAGCCATACTTTTCTCGAAATCTGCGAACTCTTCTGCTTTCTTCACCACCGATGAATTATTCTCAACTTATACTTCCCGAATAAAACGCGAATGGGTAAGCCCGAAAAGTTTCCAAGAGTTACCACTGTTAGGTTACATGATGCTATGCCCCACACATCTGAGAGATAAAATATCGTCTTCGGGATGCGTTCCCGTATTTGCCTTCCATTCAGAGATGGCGACTGAATGTGGTCTACATATACAACGACTTGAAGTGGTCTTACATGTTAGTGCATTCATTCATCAAGACGAAACCGATCTCTAGAGGATAGGAGGCTTGGTATTGACCTGGCCAAGTATCTTGCCGGTATATAAGATCTCGGAACTATGCTTGGGCGGTAGCACGCGTTTTCAAACTACATCACAACCTTCAATTCTCACTGACTTGTCGCAATCTGATTACTTACAAACAGGGGAGTCACTTTACGTGAGGAACCACAAAAAGGTACTGAAAAAACTAGATGAATGCCATGGGGAATTTTCCCGAAATATTCGGTCTTTTGATGGATTATCATACACTGAAAGGAACGTGCTTCAAAAACATTCATTCGTCCATTTGGTTTTTGGAATCATCGTCAACGTTGAGCTAAACCGACTGCCGTTTAGCCAATAACATACAAGTCGGTTCTACTAGAGAGCTTGGCGTACCCGTGTGCCGAACTTCAGACTTGATCCAATGACCCCTCACCGAATGAGGCTACCACGGCCAACTTGTGCGGTTACTGGTTATAAGGGCATCGCAACTCTGGAGATTGGTACACACCGATGTTTTTGTCCTCTCTCCCTTCCTAATTTCAATTTGTACAGTGCCTTCGGGTGGTTTATTTGCTACTAGTTGAGGCACTCAGTGGAGTGCACAAACGTAAAAACAAATAAACAGACCTGTTTTGTTCTAGCCTTACTTCAGAATTTCTACAGTTTCAATTTTCGATCGAAATTTTGCACTTCCGAATTAAATGAGATTTTTCAGTTTGTCACTCACAAAGAACAGCCTCACAACGTCACCGAAACGGGGTTATGCTCAAGGCACGATGTATTCTCAGTGCTCCTGTATTGATACCTCTATCGTTGCTCCTTCTTCTTGTCCTTTACGCATCCATAGGAGTCGGGTAAGTTAGTTCAGTCTAAAGAAAAACGCTATCGCTAAGAAGCAAATGAAAAAGAGATATTTATACAATAGAATGATCTGTACTAGAAAGGTGCCTGTTTAGATTTCTCTTCTACGTTGCCATCGGTGATGTTGTCGGACCAATAGAAGAACCATATGAACTGTTTCTTCTATCCTCTTACTACTACAAAACTTCTAAAAGGTAAGAAGCATGTACGTCTATGTGTACCTAGTATATTACCTCGGTGGCCCTCCTTCTCTCTCCATCATCGTCACACAAACTAACACCATCATTGTGTAGACAGAATTTGCGACAGAAGGGGTTTCCACGAAAGGGGTCCGGTGATTCCAATAAGTTCTGGAAATGTATTCGAGCCTAAGGCTGCTAGTCACGTCCTTTTTTGATTCTCACTCTCTCGCAATGTTCTCTCACATAGATGCTTTTTACAGGCTCAAAGGGGTGACGGAGTTTTTCCCACGTACGCACTGCGGCATGCTGCAAAGCTTTTTAAGTTGTCACGCGGCTTCAAACTGCAATTATCGTACTCATCCCGCCCCCACGCCAATCGATAGGACGCAAAATTTTTCGTTGACTGCCTTTTTTTTAAAATAGTTTTGATTTTTTTGACTGTTTCTTTTTTGTTTTTATGTTTGCTAGGCTTGATAGTTTGACTTCTACTATATTATCAGTGATCAAGAACGCATTGGAATTGAAGGGAGCGGCCAAAAATTCGAATAATTAAAGGACTACTTAACTCACAAATTGCGCGCCCCAATCTTCCATCGCATTTCGCGATACGCGGCGGGTGCAGCAACGACGCAGTGTTCGGGGAGAAGATACCGGACCCGCTCAAAGCAATTATGGCAATATTCGTCAGTTCCGAGTTTTATATACAATAGAAACTTAAGAAGGCTGAGTGACCTTTTTTCGAGGCACTGTTTGATGGGCGGAAGTGGTGTAGTGGCAAGTGGTGCACTATCTCACACGTACGCTCAGGGGGTCGAATCTCGGATCGATACCCACCTAGGCCAAGCAAGCCTTCATCCCTCCGGGGTCGGTTAATCGGTACCAGACTTGTC